GCCGGGGGGCAGACGGGGAACGCCACTGTGGGCCCCCCTATTCCCACTGGTGTGCCAGCAGCCGAGAGCAGCCGAGTCACTTATGGCTGCACGCAGCAGCTCAGGGGCTGGAGGACAGCCACACTGTGTCTCTGGGAGGCCCCTGTAGGCTGGTGACAGCAGGGACAGGCTGCATCTCTCATTGCCGTGGCCTCGGTGCCTGCTGCGTAACAGGTATGCGGTGGATCCCTGCGGAGCGAATGTGAGGCCATGGCGTTTGTCATGGGAATTCGCCTCAGCCAGCTTGTTGCGATCTGCACTGCGTTTTTTTCTAGGCCTGTTGCCCTCATGTCTTAGTGGGACATCCCGTTTGCCCTGCGGGGTTGGGGCTACCGTTTCCTGAACCTCGTTTCTTCCAGCCAGCGATCTGCGCTTCCGAGGGCGTCGCCCCGTCGAAGGAGCAGGGTGCTCTACTGCCATCTGTCATCCGGGGTCACGGCTGAGAATCTCATGTCTGATTCTCACTTCTTTTTAGGCGACCTGCTTTTCTCTCTGGAGAGGGGAAGTTTTGGGGTTATCTGCTTCGTGCTTGGGGCTCCGAGGCTGGGCCGTGACGTGTCAGGGCACGGGTCCCGTCGCAGTCACCCTGCCCCAGTGCTCGGCGGGGCCTTTTCATTTGAAGAGCTGGGGGACGTTTCCGTTCCAATGTTCGTGGGATTCTCCCGATTCTAACCTATCTTTCCGGAATCGTTTCGTCGGATCTTCTAGAGTGGACACATACTTCTAGAAGAGTCCCTCGCTTGCATCTTCCCACCCTCCTTCTGAAAGTTTCGAAACAAATCTTGGCGCTTATTCCTTTAATATTCTAAAGCTTGCTCTTATTTATTGGCGGTGGTTCTCTGTCAACCGCACGAGGCCCGTGGAGGAGGAGGCAGCGGTGGCTGAACTCTGCGAGCTCGTCCCTAAGGAAGGATAAGAGAAGAGGTGCTGGGAGGGGCCCCCAGTGAGACTGGTCGGCGCTGGCGCGGAGAGCGTGGCCTCCGCCCACGTCCCCGCCCCAGGAGGCCATCCTGGAGCACGATGGCGGGGGGCGCAGGGCAGCCTCAGCCGCTGCGTCTTCTTCAGGGAGGAGCTGGACTCGAGACTCCCCCAGAATGGAGCTCACATGGCAGAAAAATGGAGCCGTGGTAGCAACGCATGTCCGCCGAGCTGAGGAAACCAGATGCAGGAAAGCCACGTGTGACAAAGGAGTCGGCCAGGCGGGGACAGCGCTCCCGAGGCACGACCGCGTGGGCAGCCAGGCCTCCCACGCTGACGGGGGGCGCCCGGGGACGTCACCCAGACTCCTCCGTCTGGTCCAGCGAGCGGCGAAGGGCGGGTCGGGGTCTGTTTGGGAACAGACGTCTTGGTGCACCATCGTCTCCGGCCAGCCAGATGGCACCGGAGGTGTGGGGCCCGGGAGAAGGTGCACAGAGAAAAGGCAGGACAGCTGGCCCCAGAGGCGAAGACAGCCTCAGAGGGACATGTCCGCCCTGGAGGGCCGCGCTGAGCCAGGCCCTCCGTGTCGGGAGCTCGAGGGCGACCTCGCTGCAGATAGATGAGGGGCAGGACTCCAGCGCCAGCGGGAGGCTGGAGGAGGCCGCTCACGGGCAGTCTCGTTTGGGGGGGAGGCGGTGGCAGAAGTTTGAAAGAGAAAAAAGGGAGAGTCTTCGGGATCCGCTGAAGACGGAGGCAGGGTGTGTGTCCCCTCGTGCTGTAACAAGTTACACAGACTCGGTGGCCGAAAACAACGACAATTAGTATCTTAGTCGTGGAGGTCAGAAGACTGACGATGGGTCTTCCGGGGCCAAAGCGAAGGTGTTGGCAGCCCGTGTCCCTTGGAAGGGCACGCGCAGGCGGGGTGCCGCGTCAGAGGGTGGGCGAGGGGATGGGCCTGGCTGAGCCTTCTTCACCGCCCTCGGCGGGCCGCCTGCTCGCCTCTGAGTTTTGGACCTGGAAGACGGGCTCCCTGCCATGATGACAGCAGGAGCCACCAAACCGCAGGCCACCAGGGAGGGGGACTGCTTGGGTCTCAAGGACGAGGCAGGAACGTGGGGCCTTGGGGGCAGGGGCAGCGCCCTCTTTTCTGGTAGACGAGACGTGAGGTGACTCAGGAAGGTCACATGGCCGCACTGGTGAAGGAATGGAGAGGGGTCCGCGATGGCCGAAAGTAGAGAAAAGAGCCCAGAATTGCAAGGGCAGCCAGGAGTCATCCTGGGGTCTCTGACGGGGGCGTTTGGCCCGATCATACAGTGTCTACATCCTTTCTCGCAAGGTCACTCCCTTCATTCACGGGCTCTACTTTTTATCCTGAAATAAGGAATAGGGCACAGGGGTGTGTATCGTCTAGGAGAGGCTATTCCAGAAAGGACTCGTGCGGCACATCTGCTGTAACGATTCTCGTTGGAGGACGTCTGCCATACTGCCTTGCCCATGTGCTTGCTGCATCGCTGAAGATTTATTAAGTACAGCAAAATTATTTTGGGGAATTGAGTGTTTCAGGGACGATAAATTGTCATTCGAAAGGGGCCAAAAGTTTGACGTGCTGAATGAAGCATCTGTCTTTCGGGACAGCTGGAGGTTTGTCGGCAGGCGAGGGGGAACAGACATTTCTAATCGGACGTGACGGGAATAATCGCAGGGTTTCAAAAAGTGTTTTTCAGTGCGTTATTCTCTCTCTCCTCTTCCGTGCACCCACTCCTCGCTCCCCATCTTTATTTCTCACTGGTAGCATCCCCCGGCTCCTTGCTGTCGACTTTAAGCCACCGGGACAAGCAGTGACCACCGCGTTCAGAGACCTGGGGATTCACGTCTTCTCTCGCCTCCTCTGAGGTGAACGACCTCCAGCAATCAGTCACCTCCCTCTTGGAACTTCAGCTTTTTACTTAGCAAAGTGAGAATAATAACATATGATCTTTTCCACCTCTCTCGCACATTGTCCCGAGAGGCGGGAGACCGTTAGCAGGGTCGCGTCCACCGTGCTGGCATCTCACGCCGCAGAGAGGCCACGGGCCGGGGGCCTGGGCGACGGGCGACGGGCGAGCCAGGGCGAGCAGGGCTGCGAGCTTGGTGAGGAGGCGTCCTGCGTGAAGGTCGCGTGAAGAAGCACGGGCTTCAGCTGGTGTGAAGGAAGAAAGTGCTGCTGTCAGATTTAGATTTTAAGTACGTGACTTTTAGGTCTGTGGAGGGTGAATTTCAGGAGGACAAGTTGAGAGGCGACGAGACTGTTACAATAAGATAGAACGAGGACAGTGGCAGGTAGCTGAGATGGACGGCAGAGGAAGCATAGACTCTGGAGGGAAAACCAGGAGCGCATGATGACGGGTGGGGGAGACGGAGAAGCAAGCGGTCAGTGGAAGGCGACTCGGGCCGTTGACATGGGGCTTCAGGGACCATGAGGGCACATTGCGACACTAACGAAAATTAAGCTGAGAAATCAAGAGCAAGAGATAACTAAAAGATCTCATCCATCTCCATCGGGAAGTTAAGAACACTTCTAAATAATTCAGAAGTCAAAGAGGACGTCATAGTGAAACTCAAACGTATTCGAAGTCGAACAATAGCAAAATGAAATATCAGAACTTGGGTTACATCTCAATTTGGTAGAGGGAAATTTCACGCCTTAAATACTTACACGAGAAGAGACGGAAGGCTGAAAATGAATGACCTACGTAAGTCTAAGTATATTAGGAAAATTAGAACGAGATAACCCTCTCCAAAAGAAAATAGGAAAGGCGAGATAAAAGTTAACTGGAAGATGAAGAGACCGTAGAGACAATCAAGTCAAATCTGTTGTTTGAAAAGATTAATAGTATTGACAAACCTTTGGCAATATTGATTACGAAAAATAGAAAGCCGAGATAAGCAATATGAGAAAGAAAAAGGCTGCCTAGGTGCATATACTGCAGTGAATAAAATATCATGGGGGACCATTATGAATAACTTTGTGCCCCATATTTTAAAACTTTGGTAAAATGAACAGGTTTCTAGAAAAATATATATATATCAAAAGTGACTCAAGAAAAACGGAAAGCATAAATTGTCCTGTAACCATTAAGGAGAGGGGTCAGTAGTTAAACCCTTTTCTAAAATGAAAAGCTTACGTCTTTATAGGTGGCTTCTTGCAAACAGTGAAGGGACATGTAGTCCTAGTCTCACACAAACTATTCCCAAAAATAGGAAAAGAAGGAATTTTCTCTCAGTCATTTAATGAAGCAAGTATAACGTCGATATTAAAACCAAACAAAGACGGTAAGGAAAAGGAGAACTTCAGGCCGGTTTCAGACGTGAACTAATGAACAAAAACATTAGCAAGCTGAGTCCAGCAGCGTGTGGAGGTGAGGGTTACATCATGACCAAACCGGATTCATCCCAGGACTGTAAGAATCGTTTCAGATTAGAAAATCCATTCATTGTTCTGTCGCATTCGCTGATTAAAGCAGAAACCCCTACGATGATTTCTATAGATGCGGGAGAAAGCAGATAAAAAAAACTTAAACACGCGTTCATGGTGAACTTCTAACAAAGTACGAAGGGAACTTTCTTAACCTATGTTTGCCGAAACTTGCCGCAAAGGTAGGTGAGACATAACGCCTGCCCCCAAGGGCTTCAGTGAGAGAGGCACGGAAAGTTATGGCCGTGAGTCACACAATCGTAAAGTCCTCTTACCAGAGAAGAAACTAAGACTCACATCAATTCAATGTCATTACGTTGAATTTTTTTTTTTTTTTTTGTATAATAAAATTGCTCAAGCATTCCCTTTTCTGTGACCTATCAGAGGAAGCTTCCCGCCCTTGGCACATTCTGTCCGTAATCATAAAACGCTTTGCCGAAAACCAAGCTGCCTTTATGAGCCTGTCACTTAACCTAGTCCGCGGGACATCTTGACTCAGATTTTTAAAGAAAAATGCCAGGGACATTTCAACGTGATTTTAGAACTTAAACCATTTTTCTTTTACGACTCTGTACTACCGTGTTTACAGGCGACTCGCTCCGTTCACGGCGTTAACTGTCACCGTGCCTCAGGGACATCGGTGGCTCAGGGACATCGGCGGCTCGGGACGGGAGAGAGATGGGCTGAGGATGCAGGAGGGCGTCGAAGAGGTTCGGGAGCAAAGCGGGCTGAGGTACGGACGTCCACTGTGGACTCGATTCGGGAATTTAAAACGATCGTAGCCGCCGGACGTTGGTTTATTTAAGGCTCAGTCGGTAAGTACACATGGCAGACTCTGCACTCAGGTTCCTGAGTTTCCTGGTACAATATCCTCAGAAAATGGGGTGCAGCTGAGGGATGGGACTGAGGTACCTCGCTTGCCTTACTCGATAAGAAAACGGCCAGAGTGTTTTCAGCGCCTTTTTAAAAACTTCGCGTTTGTTTTCAGTCATTTTATGGTATTTTCAAAAGTATCGATTCATTTGGAGGGGAGAAGGTTCTTCACCAGAGAGAGTTTGAGAAACACTCAAATGGACTCTATGAAAATCAAGAAATGCTATTCACCAAGAGGCACCAGAAAGATGGAAAGGCAAGCTGCACAATGGGAGAAAATGTACACAACACACACAACTGACAAAGACTTAGTATCTAAAATGTATCAAGAACTCATTCGAATCAGTTAGAAAAATGGGCAAAAATCTCGAAGAGCCACTTCATAGAAAAAGAAATCCTAAAGCCCGCATGAAACATATTAAAAGGCCTCCCCCTCATTAGTCACCAGGGAAATGAAAATTACATCCACAGTGAAAAGCACACACGTGGTCACTCGATCGGCAGACGCATAAAAGCTGCACACGCATCAACGTCAGGGATGCTGTGTGATTCAGGAGGACCGTGGCTCCCGAGAGTGTAAATCGCGTACGTGGCTCTGGAGAACTCGTTTGCAGCACCTGCTGGGGGTGAACCCAACAGTTCCTAGGGACCCCACGGAAGCGGTTGCGTAGTAAACGACATACACACGGATACGTACAGTATTTGTAGTAGCTCCTAAAGAAAAACAGCCCGACGTCCATCGAGGGTAGAACGTATAAGTCGCGATACGGTCACACGCGCCACCCTCGACAGCAGTGGTTCTCAGAGCGTGGCCCAGGGTCCAGCAGCGTCAGCATCACCTGGGAATGTGCCAGGAATGCAGGTTCTCAGGTCCAACGTCAGACCTGCTGGATCGGGAGCTCTGGAGTGAGACCTGGGCTGCTTTAGCAAGCCCTGCCGAGGGTCCCGGTGTGTGATAATGGCTGAGGACCGCTGGTCCACAGTGTGCAGATGCGTCGGTGTGGCCGTGGGCAGCACTGTGGACGAGCATCGCAGACGTGTTCCGTCATCCTAGGGGTCAGCAGGCCATGTCAGTGGCCTGACCCTTCCGTGAGTTCACATATGTCTCCACGTTGCGATGGTCCTCATTCAGATAGCCTGCCCCACCTTCAAGCTAAAGGGTCACGGTGGGGTTCCGAATCACACTAGCACCTGTCCCCCCCTCACCATCCTCAGAACGAAACCAGACCCCGGCTGATGACATAGAGAACCCTTTCGAAATGGTGACCCATGTGTTTCAGTTCTGGAGTGTGGCCTCCAGCATTAATCATCCCATGGAGAAAATGTACTTAAAATGAATGATTCTTTGCCCTGTCGTGCATTCAGGGGCTCGGAGTTGGAACTGCCACGTCTGTGTCCCCCTCTGTCCTCAGTTCCCTCAGGCTCCTTACCCTGGCCTCTCCCGTCTGGATTCCGAGACACCTCCTCCTCCAGCTCTATCACGTCTATTTCTCCCCTTCCCCCCCTCCCCCCAATTCCGATTGTATGGACACACGAACTCATGCACACGGTGCACACGCACACGCACTCCTCCGTGGGAGTTGGGGTTGGGGGAGAGCTTCAGTGGACGGGGCCAGGATGAGCACTGTTCTCTTCACGTAATGCACGGTGGCGTCCCCGCTCAACGCCCCCTTCCGCCCACGCTCCTGCAGCTGGCCTCCCTGCCTGCCGGCTGCCCTCACGGACACCTCGTTCCGTCTGCTTGCTCGCCCACGTGCCCCGTCCCCATCCGTGGCCTCGCACCTCCATGGTTTCTACGGGCCCGTCACAGACTCCCACTCCCCTGATCAAGCCCTTACTCAGTGGACTTGCCCCAGGTTAATCTCTTCCAGGACATGCTGCTTTCCTGCCCCCCAGCCTTCAGTCACGTCCTTACGCTCAGAATCAAGTCCAAGCACCTCAGACTGCCATTCAGTGGTGTCCAGGACCTGGTCCCCGGTCCGATACCCTCATCCTCCCGTCGAACAACATCCTGAATCATTTTGCTTCCCGGCTTCCCGCTCGGATGCTCGCCTTACCTCCCGCGAGCTGCGCTGTTTCTCGTCCTTGGCCTGTTACTGTTGTCCACTCGGCGTGTTAGCCTTACTGGTCCTCCAAGGCTCAGTTCAAAATGTCACTTTTTCCGTGAAGCCCCCACACCCCCGCCCCTGCCCTTCCATGGTCCTTTTCGCTGTTAGTTTTAGTGACTTTTATCCGTCTTTCGTTTTTGTACCTTTCTCTTATCTCCTTGGAGGAAAAGATGACATTTTGTTCGTTTTCGTCTCTCTAGAACCTAGCACACTGTCCTAGAAAGAGCGGCCGCTCAACTCTTCATGTTCGCAGAGCGAAAGATAAAGGGCAGCCTTCCTGTTTACAAGCAGTATGTACACTTTGGATATTTTCCTTCGACAACGGTCTTGTCAGAAGAAGCATAAGCATTTCAGTGCACCTATCTTAATTTAAAAGTGAGTTTTTTGAGGACAAAACGGGTAAAGCCTGGGCAACGTGATATGACAAAGTTTTTGCAGTGTGTCCAGTTTTTACTTTTCATTCTAATTTATTTCCTCGCTAAGATGGGATGAGGTGAGGGTGGGACCCCTTCCCCTGCTTCTAAATGCGCGACAGGTGATTTGGAACTGTGTTACAGGTCTCTCGACTCTATGTAATTAATTCTCTCTTGGGACTCCTAAAATTTAGACTTTTCCTATGGTCCATAGACTGTTATTATTATTAAAATATTGAAGTGATTATTGTATGAATATGTCCCCAATGACTATATAATAGGAAAGAACCATTCCTATTCTTCATCTTCAATATATCTTGAATTAGAACAGTTCGAGAAATAATTTGACTTAAATTAAAAAAAGATTTTAATTTTTAAAGTCCATTAACGAAAACTAAAAATTATTTTCATGCATCGTGGTATTGGGAAACCTTCCCGTGGAACCGTCGCAGGTGCGTGCTGCGTGCCCCCCGTGCGTCGACCGCGGGTGTGTTTTTAGCGTGGACCTGCGGCTGTGGCACCAGACGCCAGGGGACAATCCATAATTCATCACCATTGCTGTTTTCACAGCACAGTATTTATGAAGCTTTTCCACGGGCTTGGGGCCATCTTGGCTGTTTCAGAATTTTCGTGAGCAGCTTGAGTGATAATTTTAGGCTTCTAAAATCAGTCTGTGTCCCCTCAGTCACATGATGTCATAAGCAGCTGGTGTTGCCTTGGCAACTTTACAGAATAAAAGTGCTGCTTTGGGTAAAACTTCGGGTCACGTGACCTAGCTCTGTAGCCGGGGAAGACAGACACAAGATTATGACTTACTTCGCCACCAAAACAAACCCAGCTTCGCAAAAGAGAAAAAAACAAACCCAGAACTCAGAGTCCCACGTGAATTCATTACCCGCCGGGCCATCGTCAGAGAGCCAAGTTTCTCTGACTTGGTAATTTCAACGCGCTCCACCCGCCGTGATACTTCGGGATCTGTCCCCTCCTTTCCCCAGTCCTTCTGTGACCCAGGAAGGTGTGTCTTGTCTAAGGAGTTAAAGCCGATCAACCGAGAGGACGGTGACCCCTCGGCCTACAGTCCCTGCTCTTTCTAGCGTCACCTGTGAGTCGAGTTCACTTACTGCCACATACCTGCTGAGTGATTTAGAGAACGTAGGTCCATCTCGTTAGGCCCCCCCCAGCCTCCCATCTTCTGTCCGTAAGGAGCCTCCGTTTAGTTTTCTGTGATTGTAAGTACCAACTTTTAAAGAATATTTGAAAAAATACAGAAACGATAAAAAATAAATAGTTCTGTCATCCAGCCGCCGCCATCGCTATTAACGTACAATTTTTTTCTTCTATTTTTAAAGATGTTTCCACGTACATAAGTTATAGCATACGGCATAAAACAAATGACATTTCAATAGAAACACACACATATGTCATTGTTTCTCATTCACAGGTATCTCTCCGTGTCCTCATCCTGCGTAACGGATAACTTAAGGTGACGTCAGCTTACTTTTTAATGACTCTTTTTCTTTCGTTTAACCATTTCCATGTTGGTTTGGCTTTCCTACCGTTGTGCTGTTACAAGTATTACGGAAAAAAATCTTTTCAGAGTCTCAGAAGTGAGATACCACATCAAAGTTTGTATAAAAAGTCCTAAGGCTCTATACACATCGAGAATTTGCTTTTCCAGAAAGATCGTGTCATTCCCTTCTTCATCAGTAATGGAGGAAAATGCCAGTTTTAACACATCCTTGTCAGCATGGTGTCATATCAGATTTTTAAAAAATTGAACACCTAGTGCCTAGGCATCTTGGTTTTTAATTCTATTCTCCAACTAAAGGAACCAGGGCCCCTTGGAGAAGTGACTCATTGTAGGCCTGGGGTAGAAAATATACAGGATCGGCCTAGAGCCCAAAAGTAAGGAATTGCTCCAAAGAGGAAGTGATGGGGTATGTCCCAGTTTGCAGGAACCAGCTGGAGAGCCCCGTGGCCAAAGCTGGACCCATCCGAGCAACAGAATAAAGTAGTATTTAGATTAGAACCCAACATATAAAATAAATATTCACGAGTCCACACTGATATAAATAATGACTGAATACGTAAATAAAGGGAGGAGAAGAGACAAATCTCCCATGGAGAAAACCTCCAAATAAATTATGTGGAGACTGCGTACCAGTAAGTCCTCACTGCTTAAGTGTGGCGAGAAACGAGGATAAAAGAGTAACTTTAGAGTGGAGAAACCTGACAAACGCCCTCGGCCAGGTGATCAAGGTTAAGGTAAGTCATGTCGATAGCATGACTTATTGGATACAGTAACTTTTATTTTTATAAAATTCCATTTCAGTGTATGTTTAAAAAAATAAGAGATTAATTTTTGTTTTGAACTATTAATATTATGAATTATATTAATAGATTTTCTAATACATAAGCCATTCTTGATTTCTAATGCTAATGACACCTTGATATTCATTTTTTTAATATAGCACTAAATCAAATTTTCTCTTTTTTAGAAATTAATTTATAATTTCAAGAAAGCTTTCTATGTAGATCTGGCCCATATAATTTCTGCTGTTTGAAATTATTGAAATTATTTTCTGGCCAATTAATATGATCAATTTTGTTTCGTGAATTTTAGATAGGGTGTCATCTAAATATCAAATTCTTTTATTTTTACACATTACTTTCAAAATTACATTATGTGTCCTCACTTAATGTCATCAGTAGGTTCTTGGAGACTGTGACCTTAACTACAATGATGTTTAAAGAAACCGATTTTACCAGAGGCTAATGGATAGAAATAAAAGTTAAGTTCCTACAGCATATTTCTGGTCACAATAACTTCACCAGACTTCTAAATGAAGACCCCAAACACTTCTCATGTTAAACAGAGAAATAAATGTGAGCTATCCATACATCATAAAGATGACTAAGCACCAGTAAGATGATGATTTTCCAACCTGCTTATTCCAGTTCAGGGTCAAGGGTGGCCGGAGCCTGACCCTGGACAGGACGCCCTCCCATGGCAGGGCCACTCACACCCATCCGCTCCCTCAGGGGCAGTGGAGGGACACGATTCATCTCGTGTGCACATATCTGGGGCGTGGGGAGGCCAGAGCGCCCAGAGAAAACCGTCACAGACAGGAGAACGTGCACACTCCACGCGGACGGGGCCCTGCCGGAAATAGGTTCCTTTTCTGTCAACATCATAACAAAAATGATGTCAAATGAAATGATGTTATTCGAGGACCTGCTGTATTTGTCTTTCTAGATCCTTATTAAGTGTTTACCTTCCTGATCTGTCACACCTGAGACTTGCTTGCTTTTCAGCCATTTCTATCTGTATTCATTTCTTTTTTTACTTTATACAATTTCTGTAGGTAAGCAGATACAGGGTATGAGACACAAAAAGATTCCTTATGGTTACTTTTTTCACTGTAAATTGTGTTCTTCATCAGGATAAAATAACCATCTTCGTTCTCTTTAATACTCTTTTATTTTCTTGAACTTTATTTTCTGTAAATCGATATCTTCACTTTGTTTTTGCTCGATATATTCTTGCCTGTCCTTCCACGTTTCATCTTTCCCACCGCATTTTAAGAATGCTTTCTATAAACAGCACGTTTAAATCTCCATTCAAAAATGAGTTTGGCCTAATTTCAGTCATAATATATAATATCTGGCCTTACTTTATATGCTCTTTGTTTTTAAAGTTTTCTTTTTTTCCCTTATTAAATGGCTTCACTGTTTATATCTTTTATATCATTTGAAAAAGCATAGATATCTATAGAGCCGTCATTTTTACTTCTATGATTGTTTAATTTCTTAAAAAGCTTTTAACCTATATTCAACAATCGTCAGACCCAAGAAGGAAGTAATATTTGATTTCAGAAACAGAAATTTAAAAACTTTATTTCATTCTCTTCTGTCTTAATCTTTGTTTCTATTATCTGAAAATTTAGATCTTGATGGATATTAAATGATTACTCTTTATGTACTATTTTCTCTGCAAGGGTAATTTTTGTCATTTGCCTTTCATTTTATGATCAGATGTTTGATAAATAGGCTTGTCTCAGTTTAAGTGGTTTCAGGGTTCACTGCAGTTTCATTTGTAATGCTGCTGTCCCATTTCTTGGCTTTGAATATCGCCCAATTCTCAGCCCGTTGGAAAATACATTTCAGGTTGTGTTCAGGTGGTATATAGCTGAGACCTTAAACGTCTCAGATGGTTTTCTGTTGCCTTGAAATCTGACCAAACATTTCTTGGGTTACCGCATCGACCGTTAAAACTCGACAGCTATTAATCCATTATCTCGTGGCATTTAAAGTAGCAGAGAAGACCGAAGCCAGTTTGACTTAATTTCTTTTTTTAGGTAACCTTTTCTCTGCATGCATAGTTGTATGTCATTTTCTTTAGTCCTGTCATTAAAAAATGGTTTTGAGATAGTCACGTGCCGCTTAGGGACGGGGAGACGTTCTGAGAAACGCGTGGTTAGGCGATTTTCCGGTCGCGCGAACATCCTAGGGTGCGCACACCTGGATGGTACAGCCTACTCCTGTCATTGCACGTGTGACGCTTCAGACGCTGGCAGCGCAGGTGTGTTTCTACCGGCAGCACCGCAGACACCTGAGTGCTTGCCCCGCGAGCCCTTGCCGGTGGCGTTTCCTTCTGAAATGCAAGTGCCTGGCAGGCTTTGATCCGGCATCTCTGCTTCCACGAGGCCATTTCTACCTGAGACAAACACCTGGCCGGCCTCGCGACTCCATGAAGAGCTAGGCGGCCTCCTCTGATCTAGCTCTTGGTGCATTTGATAACCGACCCTTTGGGCTGCTGGGTTTTTCTCTGCCCAGTGCTTTAAATTCTCGCCGTCAGGTCTGAAATTCACCAGTGAAGAGCGAGCCTGCGAACCCCGCCCCGAAAGGCGGAAACGCAGGCCAGGTGCGCGGCGTGCGTGCGTGAGGCGCGTGCGT